CCACTCACAGCACAGTGACATACAAAAAGCTTCCCAGAGTGGAAATCAGATCAATAACTTTCAGAGATGGGAAAATAAAGGACCCCAGTGGAAATAAGTCACTTTGACTTTTTTGGGGTTATCCTAGGTTCCCTACACATATGCTACTGTGTATGATAATCTATGTAACTGTATTTGTGTATACGTAAATAAACTTACTTACTATGAGGAATGGTAATCAGAACAGTAAAATTTTTGAGAAGGGGTGAGGAGTGTCAGTTAACGCAGTATTACTCAGAGAAGAAGTGAGAGGGGTATCAATCAGAGCAATACCACCTAGACAAGAGGTGAGGAATGTCAGTCACAACAGTACCACTCAGAGTAAGGGTGAGGAGTGGCACACACACACACACACACACACACACACACACACACACACACACACACACACACACACACACACACACACACACACACACACACACACACACACACACGCACGCACACACACACACACACACACACACACACACACAGAAGGAGAGACAACAGGAAATGACCGTGAAGTATGTGAGGAACTCAACAAGAGATTCAAAGAAGTGTTCACAGAGGAGACAGAAGGGGCTCCAGAAAGACGGAGAGGTGGGGCACACCACCAGGTGCTGGACACAGCACACACAACCGAGGAAGAAGTGAAGAGGCTTCTGAGTGAGCTAGATACCTCAAAGGCAATGGGGCCAGATAACATCTCTCCATGGGTCCTGAGAGAGAGAGCAGAGGCGCTATGTGTACCCGTAACAACAATATTCAACACATTTATCGAAACAGGGAGATTGCCTGAGGCATAGAAGACAGCAAATGTAGTCCCAATCTTTAAAAAAGGAGACAAACATGAAGCACTAAACTACAGACCAGTGTCATTGACATGTATAGTATGCAAAGTCACGGAGAAGATTATTAGGAAAAGAGTGGTGGAACACCTAGAAAGGAATGATCTCATCAACAGCAGCCACCATGGTTTCAGGGACGGGAAATCCTGTGTCACAAACCTACTGGAGTTCTATGACATACCTGGAGTTTACCTGGAAAGAGTTCCGCGGCCCGGTTGATCAGGCTCTGATCCACCAGGAGGCCTGGTCACAGACCGGGCCGCGGGGGCGTTGACCCCCGGAACTCTCTCCAGGTAAACTCCAGGTAAACACACACACACACACACTAGTCAAGTATTCAGCCAAGGATGAAACAGTTAATGCTTCACTAACATTCATCATGACCTTTTGAATGAGTTTCGTTGATCGCTGCGTGACACTATATATATTCACTCTCACCAGACACTGCAACTCATTTTCTCAGGTCAGTGTGTTGGACTGCTTTATCATCTATAACCAGAACTATAGTCAGTGTACGCTTCTAAGCGACAACTAATAATAATAATATCTTTATTTCTACAAGTACATGTACAAGGTATACAGACCATAACTGACATCAGTGACATACTACTATATAGAAAGCCGCTTGTTGTACAGAGCATTTCGGGCAGATCAGGTCAGTTTTGTCCCAGGATGCGACCCACACCAGTCGACTAACACCCAGATACCCATTATACTGATGGGTGAACAGGGACAGCAGGTGTCTTAAGGAAACACGTCCTAATGTTTTCCAGCCGTACCGGGGATTTGATCGCCGGACCTCAGTGTGTGAGCTGAGTGCGCTAGCGATCCAGCTACGGGATACCTGAAGGTCAGAGTACGCTTCTAAGTGACAACTATGGTCAGAATACACTTCTAAGTGACAACTATGGTCAGAATACACTTCTAAGTGACAACTAAGGTCAGAATACACTTCTAAGTGACAACTAAGGTCAGAATACACTTCTAAGTGACAACTATAGTCAGAATACACTTCTAAGTGACAACTATGGTCAGAATACACTTCTAAGTGACAACTATAGTCAGAATACACTTCTAAGTGACAACTATGGCCAGAATACACTTCTAAGTGACAACTATGGTCAGAATACACTTCTAAGTGACAACTATGGTCAGAATACACTTCTAAGTGACAACTATGGCCAGAATACACTTCTAAGTGACAACTATGGTCAGAATACACTTCTAAGTGACAACTATGGTCAGAATACACTTCTAAGTGACAACTATGGTCAGAATACACTTCTAAGTGACAACTATGGTCAGAATACACTTCTAAGTGACAACTATGGTCAGAATACACTTCTAAGTGACAACTATGGTCAGAATACACTTCTAAGTGACAACTATGGTCAGAATACACTTCTAAGTGACAACTATGGTCAGAATACACTTCTAAGTGACAACTATGGTCAGAATACACTTCTAAGTGACAACTATGGTCAGAATACACTTATAAGTGACAACTATAACTAAAGTAAAAGGACACAAGTGCAACTAATGTGACATTTATTGTGGCAACGTTTCGCTCTCCAGGAGCTTTATCAAGCCATTACAAACAATACATGGACACAGAGGGTATATAAAGGCTCAGAGTGAGGTGAATACTAGTGAGGTACCATTTCGATGTTCACTAGTGGTAGTAGTAGTAGTAGTAGTGGTAGTGACAAAAGTAATACAATATGGTAGAGCAATTAATTCGTACATGAGTAAAAGGATATAAAAGCTATTACTTGGGTAACATAAAAATAGGTTGGACAAATATAAACTGGAATGAGGCAGCTTGTTTCAGTGTTCACTCTCTGTGCTTTGTGTAGTGTAACAGGAGAGACTATGTGATGGCAGGGTTTACTGTTTTCAGGAGGATTCTTGCTAAGACTTCGGAGATGGTGAAGCTGCCGTTGTTTTGTTTAATTGTATTCGAAACAGCGATCAGTGCTGATTCGAGGCACTTGCGTCTGCGGAAATTAGTTTCTTTGATCACTAATTGGGCGTCTCTGAATTTCATGAGATGATTGGTGGAATTTCGGTGTTGTACACAGGCGTTGTTCAGGTTATCGTTCCTACATGCGTAAATGTGTTCATTGAGGCGGGTGTCGAGGTTTCTGGCTGTTTCACCTACGTAAATCTTGTCACAGCCTCCACAGGGTATAGTGTAAACTCCTGCATTGACTGGTTCGTGGTGCTTGGATTTTGTCCTGGTTAGATCCTTTATTGAAGTGCTAGAAGCGATGGCGACTCTGGTGTTAGCTTGTGAAAGTGCTTTTGAGACGTTCAGTGCAACCTGACTGTTGGGAAGAATTATAACTATTATATGTCACATTAGTTGCACTTGTGTCCTTTTACTTTACATATTGTCGGTAATTCTACCAACTTTATTACAACTATAACTAAAACTAAAACTAGAAATATACTTGGAATACTCTCCTAAATGAACATTTTTCTACTTATATTTTGCTAGTAAAGTCATTGCAAGGATTTACTTCAAATTTAATTTTATCTATATATTTAATTTACAAACTATATGCCAGTTTTATATATCAAAAAATTCCTCTAAAATTAATATATATTTTAGGTGGAAGTTTTAAGTGAAAGTAGAAGAGCCTAAAATTAAAGAATTTATTGAATTTTTCGTATTTAATGCAAAAAAAAGTAGTTAAATAATTTTGTAGCATAATTTTATATTGACGTCCTTATAATATGTTAATTGTATTACCTAGAACTGCATGAATCATCCGTATTGATGAATATATGTGACATACCAGACATAGAAGAAGAAATGTGCAACACTTGGGTAACTTTGTTGTTGAAACGTTTCGACCGTGTTGCAACCTTCTTCATCTGAATATAGAGTTGATAATTAATGGAGTCAGTAGAAGTAGTGACCAGGTCAAGATTAAGTGATCAATCAATCTACCTTTAAGCAGTAGTTATGAGGTGGTCAGTCCCTGAGGCTTGAAACAGTAGTATATCAGTGGTATACAATACCGACAAGAAGATGACTTAGACATTTGCAACATTTGGGTATCTTTATATGCCCAGCTCTTGGGCATGACTTATTTCTACTGGGAAATCCCACCTACCAGTGACAATGCATTCGTTTGCTACATCTAATCTGACTCCAGTACATAAGCGCCGATCTTCCTGCCTGCGCTTCAGATTCTACAAGACTATGGTGTTCATCACCTGCTCTTAGGCCGAGGGATTTATTACCTCGTCTTCCACTGTCTTATGTATATATTTCTATAGTCTTCCGATTATATACATATATTGTATTGATAAAGCCACTGGATGGCGATACGTCTAAAAGATACCCAGATGTGTCTAATTCATCATCTTGAAGTAGTTTTGAGGTGGTGAGTGCCTCAGCCTTGAGAAGTGTTGAGCGCCACAGTCTTGAGAAGTGTTGAGCGCCACAGTCTTGAGAAGTGTTGAGCGCCACAGTCTTGAGTGAAGAAGCTGCAGAGCTCAAACGTTTCGACAGTAAAGATAGGCAAGTGTTGCACGAGTGTCTTCCTCAACTACTGGTTGGTGCTGTTTGCACTTACTACAGACACTTGTTATCAGGAATACTTGCGTAGAAGAAAGGCAGGATGAGTGTAAAGCTGTCTCTGGCGCTGTTAGCGGGTCTGTTTGTGCAGTGGCTGTGTACAGCTCCAGTACTGCCTCTCACACTAGGTTAGTTGGCATCTCTCTCTCTCTCTCTCTCTCTCTCTCTCTCTCTCTCTCTCTCTCTCTCTCTCTCTCTCTCTCTCTCTCTCTCTCTCTCTCTCTCTCTCTCTCTCTCTCTCTCAATCCTGATCACAAATAATGTCATCTTATAACTTCAAATTCTGTTTGTTTGTTTTTTACCTTTTTGTTGTTGTTAATTTTGTTAATGTTCATAACATACAAGCTAATGAAAAGTTTTTGATATAATTTTGAAGTTGCTTACCTCGTTTTATCTCGTGTGTGTGTGTGTGTGTGTGTGTATATATATATATATATATATATATATATATATATATATATATATATATATATATATATATATATATATATATATATATATATATATATATATACGCGCACGTTGACGCAGGCAGACGCAGGATGCTGGTTGGTGCGTCAGATGCTCTCAGAGTGATGTTGGAAGCTGCGTCTCTACCCAGCTGCACTCTACTTGTGTTGACTGACGCAGCTGACTCTTTCATATCGCTCCTGCAGGTGCGTTCCTTCCTCTCCTTCAAGAACCTCCTCCTCTGTTACAATCCTTCACACGGAAGATGAGACGAGTGAGGTCCAGTGGAGGCATGTGGCAACTCCTAAACCAGTCAACAACAGTATTTCTGAAAATTGTATAAAATACTTACAAGTTGGTTATAGATGAATATGTGTGTCCATACAAAATGTAACAGAGACGATGATTGGTGGATGAGTTTCCTATGTTTTAGCTGAGGATTTGATATTAAGCATTCACAGACTGCATACACCATGAAGTATAGTCTCGCAGTGTATACACATTGATAGTTTATTACGTATTTTAGGGACGAGAGTGTTCTTGATAATTGTTAATGGATTATATACAGTCTTAATGATCCTCGTCTAGGCGATATTCCATAAACCAATAGATTATGTAATATGAAAACTATAGTAGTGATTAGACTGATGAGAGTGTGATGTATAAATTTGGGATTAATATATGAAGATGTGGGGTACCTCTGAGGAAGAGTTAGAAAGAGGTTATGAATAAGGCATTGAGAGGCAGTGGATTGAACGTCCAGCAGGCATATGCGAGTGTACTGAATCAGAGAAAAGGCGAGTGGTGTTTCAAGTGCGAAGTCGGTTACCCAAACTAGTTCTATAGACGGGAATCACAATGTCTGCACCTTGTCAGACTTAGGTAACTGACTATGATCATATTAAATAAAAAAACTGCCTCATATGTTGAGTAATTAATATATTACTTGTATGTTCAGGTGAAGGAGGTGGGATGCTCTTGGTCTGTGTGGAGGGTGTTTGGGGTGGTCAATACCTCCCTTCCACACCTCCTCACCTCCATCAAGCAGGTCAGTCTTGTCTCATCTTCGTAGAATATGACAAATGTGTCCTGTAAGCCCACACTAGGCATACCATATTCATGTGTAACCATTCCCACTCAAAAGAAGATAAAGAAGGAGTACTGCGTGAGGTCTGCTCGTCAACACTGGACATACAACTCACACTCATGTAGCGCTCCATCCAGCACTTAGAGACAACTTCAAAAAAGACTTCAAACTGTGGTTGATGAACCAGGCAGCAGTGAATGCCGGGAGGACCCACAACCCACTGTTAATAGCCACAGCTTGCTGGAACACAAATATTGCTCTACTAGAGAAGGACAGATGGTGAGATAGAAAAGAGGGGCTGGAGAGAGATATGGGATTAGAGAGAAATAGTTGTCTTCCCCCCTCTCTCTCTAATTCGAGTTAAGCTTTGAGAAAAGGTTGAACAAGTGAGTGGGTGAGTGGGATTGGTTGTTTGGGCCAGTAAGCCTTCTGCATTGTTCCTCCTTTCTTTTCTTCTTAAAACGTTCAAAAACAATGTGTTTCAGTGATCCTGCTGTGCTTGGCACAGTGTGTCAGTGACCTGCTGTGCTTGGCACAGTGTGTCAGTGACCTGCTGTGCTTGGCACAGTGTGTCAGTGATCCTGCTGTGCTTGGCACAGTGTTTCAGTGATCCTGCTGTGCTTGGCACAGTGTTTCAGTGATCCTGCTGTGCTTGGCACAGTGTTTCAGTGATCCTGCTGTGCTTGGCACAGTGTTTCAGTGACTCTGCTGTGCTTGGTACAGTGTTTCAGTGACTCTGCTGTGCTTGGCACAGTGTGTCAGTGACCTGCTGTGCTTGGCACAATGTGTCAGTGACCTGCCGTGCTTGGCACAGTGTGTTAGTGATCCTGTTGTGCTTGGCACAGTGTGTCAGTGACCTGCTGTGCTTGGCACAGTGTGTTAGTGATCCTGCTGTGCTTAGCACAGTGTGTCAGGGATCCTGCTGTGCTTGGCACAGTGTGTCAGTGATCCTGCTGTGCTTGGCACAGTGTGTTAGTGATCCTGCTGTGCTTGGCACAGTGTGTTAGTGATTCTGCTGTGCTTGGCACAGTGTGTCAGTGATCCTGCTGTGCTTGGCACAGTGTGTTAGTGATTCTGCTGTGCTTGGCACAGTGTGTCAGTGATCCTGCTGTGCTTGGCACAGTGTGTTAGTGATCCTGTTGTGCTTGGCACAGTGTGTCAGTGATCCTGCTGTGCTTGGCACAGTGTGTCAGTGATCCTGCTGTGCTTGGCACAGTGTGTCAGTGATCCTGCTGTGCTTGGCACAGTGTGTCAGTGATCCTGCTGTGCTTGGCACAGTGTGTCAGTGACCTGCTGTGCTTGGCACAGTGTGTCAGTGATCCTGATGTGCTTGGCACAGTGTGTCAGTGACCTGCTCTGCTTGGCACAGCGTGTCAGTGATCCTGCTGTGCTTGGCACAGTGTGTTAGTGATCCTGCTGTGCTTGGCACAGTGTGTTAGTGATCCTGCTGTGCTTGGCACAGTGTTTTAGTGATCCTGCTGTGCTTGGCACAGTGTGTCAGTGATCCTGCTGTGCTTGGCACAGTGTGTCAGTGATCCTGCTGTGCTTGGCACAGTGTGTTAGTGATCCTGCTGTGGTTGGCACAGTGTGTTAGTGATCCTGCTGTGCTTGGCACAGTGTGTTAGTGATCCTGCTGTGCTTAGCACAGTGTGTCAGGGATCCTGCTGTGCTTGGCACAGTGTGTCAGTGATCCTGCTGTGCTTGGCACAGTGTGTTAGTGATCCTGCTGTGCTTGGCACAGTGTGTTAGTGATTCTGCTGTGCTTGGTACAGTGTGTCAGTGATCCTGCTGTGCTTGGCACAGTGTGTTAGTGATTCTGCTGTGCTTGGCACAGTGTGTCAGTGATCCTGCTGTGCTTGGCACAGTGTGTCAGTGACCTGCTGTGCTTGGCACAGTGTGTCAGTGATCCTGCTGTGCTTGGCACAGTGTGTCAGTGACCTGCTGTGCTTGGCACAGTGTGTCAGTGACCTGCTGTGCTTGGCACAGTGTGTCAGTGATCCTGCTGTGCTTGGCACAGTGTGTTAGTGACCTGCTGTGCTTGGCACAGCGTGTCAGTGATCCTGCTGTGGTTGGCACAGTGTGTTAGTGATCCTGCTGTGCTTGGCACAGTGTGTTAGTGATCCTGCTGTGCTTGGCACAGTGTTTTAGTGATCCTGCTGTGCTTGGCACAGTGTGTCAGTGATCCTGCTGTGCTTGGCACAGTGTGTCAGTGATCCTGCTGTGCTTGGCACAGTGTGTTAGTGATCCTGCTGTGCTTGGCACAGTGTGTTAGTGATCCTGCTGTGCTTGGCACAGTGTGTTAGTGATCCTGCTGTGCTTAGCACAGTGTGTCAGGGATCCTGCTGTGCTTGGCACAGTGTGTCAGTGATCCTGCTGTTCTTGGCACAGTGTGTTAGTGATCCTGCTGTGCTTGGCACAGTGTGTTAGTGATTCTGCTGTGCTTGGCACAGAGTGTCAGTGATCCTGCTGTGCTTGGCACAGTGTGTCAGTGATCCTGCTGTGGTTGGCACAGTGTGTTAGTGATCCTGCTGTGGTTGGCACAGTGTGTTAGTGATCCTGCTGTGCTTGGCACAGTGTGTTAGTGATCCTGCTGTGCTTAGCACAGTGTGTCAGGGATCCTGCTGTGCTTGGCACAGTGTGTCAGTGATCCTGCTGTTCTTGGCACAGTGTGTTAGTGATCCTGCTGTGCTTGGCACAGTGTGTTAGTGATTCTGCTGTGCATGGCACAGTGTGTCAGTGATCCTGCTGTGCTTGGCACAGTGTGTTAGTGATTCTGCTGTGCTTGGCACAGTGTGTCAGTGATCCTGCTGTGCTTGGCACAGTGTGTCAGTGACCTGCTGTGCTTGGCACAGTGTGTCAGTGATCCTGCTGTGCTTGGCACAGTGTGTTAGTGACCTGCTGTGCTTGGTACAGTGTGTTAGTGACCTGCTGTGCTTGGCACAGTGTGTTAGTGACCTGCTGTGCTTGGCACAGTGTGTTAGTGACCTGCTGTGCTTGGTACAGTGTGTTAGTGACCTGCTGTGCTTGGCACAGTGTGTTAGTGACCTGCTGTGCTTGGCACAGTGTGTTAGTGACCTGCTGTGCTTGGTACAGTGTGTTAGTGACCTGCTGTGCTTGGTACAGTGTGTTAGTGACCTGCTGTGCTTGGTACAGTGTGTTAGTGACCTGCTGTGCTTGGTACAGTGTGTTAGTGACCTGCTGTGCTTGGTACAGTGTGTTAGTGACCTGCTGTGCTTGGTACAGTGTGTTAGTGACCTGCTGTGCTTGGTACAGTGTGTTAGTGACCTGCTGTGCTTGGTACAGTGTGTTAGTGACCTGCTGTGCTTGGTACAGTGTGTTAGTGACCTGCTGTGCTTGGCACAGTGTGTTAGTGACCTGCTGTGCTTGGCACAGGGCTCCACACACAGACAACTCTCGAGACAAACTTACTTCTTCCAGGACATCATGGTAAAGAATTTGTCTCTTTTTGCATTTCCTTACGAATGACGCATCTACATTAATAAGCATTTCCTTACGTTATAACGAAGCACTGTGAATGTGAATGATGGCGAACCTTACCGAACGTTTATGTTATGTGGGAACTGTGAATGATGGTGAACGTCACTGAACGTTTATGTTATGTGGGAACTGTGAATGATGGTGAACGTCATTGAACGTTTATGTTATGTGGGAACGGTGAATGATGGTGAACGTCACTGAACGTTTATGTTATGTGGGAACTGTGAATGATGGTGAACGTCACTGAATGTTTATGTTATGTGGGAACTGTGAATGATGGTGAACGTCACTGAACGTTTATGTTATGTGGGAACTGTGAATGATGGTGAACGTCACTGAACGTTTATGTTATGTGGGAACTGTGAATGATGGTGAACGTCACTGAACGTTTATGTTATGTGGGAACTGTGAATGATGGTGAACGTCACTGAACGTTTATGTTATGTGGGAACTGTGAATGATGGTGAACGTCACTGAACGTTTATGTTATGTGGGAACTGTGAATGATGGTGAACGTCATTGAACGTTTATGTTATGTGGGAACGGTGAATGATGGTGAACGTCACTGAACGTTTATGTTATGTGGGAACTGTGAATGATGGTGAACGTCACTGAACGTTTATGTTATGTGGGAACTGTGAATGATGGTGAACGTCACTGAACGTTTATGTTATGTGGGAACTGTGAATGATGGTGAACGTCACTGAACGTTTATGTTATGTGGGAACTGTGAATGATGGTGAACGTCACTGAACGTTTATGTTATGTGGGAACTGTGAATGATGGTGAACGTCACTGAACGTTTATGTTATGTGGGAACTGTGAATGATGGTGAACGTCACTGAACGTTTATGTTATGTGGGAACTGTGAATGATGGTGAACGTCATTGAACGTTTATGTTATGTGGGAACGGTGAATGATGGTGAACGTCACTGAACGTTTATGTTATGTGGGAACTGTGAATGATGGTGAACGTCACTGAACGTTTATGTTATGTGGGAACTGTGAATGATGGTGAACGTCACTGAACGTTTATGTTATGTGGGAACTGTGAATGATGGTGAACGTCACTGAACGTTTATGTTATGTGGGAACTGTGAATGATGGTGAACGTCACTGAACGTTTATGTTATGTGGGAACTGTGAATGATGGTGAACGTCACTGAACGTTTATGTTATGTGGGAACTGTGAATGATGGTGAACGTCACTGAACGTTTATGTTATGTGGGAACTGTGAATGATGGTGAACGTCATTGAACGTTTATGTTATGTGGGAACGGTGAATGATGGTGAACGTCACTGAACGTTTATGTTATGTGGGAACTGTGAATGATGGTGAACGTCACTGAACGTTTATGTTATGTGGAACTGTGAATGATGGTGAACGTCACTGAACGTTTATGTTATGTGGGAACTGTGAATGATGGTGAACGTCACTGAACGTTTATGTTATGTGGGAACTGTGAATGATGGTGAACGTCACTGAACGTTTATGTTATGTGGGAACTGTGAATGATGGTGAACGTCACTGAACGTTTATGTTATGTGGGAACGGTGAATGATGGTGAACGTCACTGAACGTTTATGTTATGTGGGAACTATGAATGATGGTGAACGTCACTGAACGTTCTCCTTGTAATGCGAGAACGTGTTTTGTTATTGTTGTCTTTGAGGGAACTCTGAAATTCAGTTGTAAAAACAAAATAAACTTGACTTTAAACATTTGGACCAGAAAAGTGTGTGGATGAAGTGTGTGTGTGGATGAAGTGTATGAGGATGAAGTGTGTGTGTGGATGAAGTGTATGTGTGGATGAAGTGTATGTGGATGAAGTGTGTGGATGAAGTGTATGAGGATGAAGTGTGTGTGTGGATGAAGTGTATGAGGATGAAGTGTGTGTGTGGATGAAGTGTATGAGGATGAAGTGTGTGTGTGGATGAAGTGTATGAGGATGAAGTGTATGTGTGGATGAAGTGTATGAGGATGAAGTGTGTGTGTGGATGAAGTGTATGAGGATGAAGTGTGTGTGTGGATGAAGTGTATGAGGATGAAGTGTATGTGTGGATGAAGTGTATGAGGATGAAGTGTGTGTGTGGATGAAGTGTATGAGGATGAAGTGTGTGTGTGGATGAAGTGTATGAGGATGAAGTGTGTGTGTGGATGAATTGTATTTGGATGAAGTGTGTGTGTGGATGAAGTGTATGAGGATGAAGTGTGTGTGTGGATGAAGTGTATGAGGATGCAGTCTAAGTGTCTGGATGAAGTGTATGTGGACGAACTGTGTCTGGATGAAGTATATGTGGATGAAGTGTAAGTGTGTGGATGAAGTGAAGTGTATGTGAATAAAGTGTAAGTGTGTGAAATCTAAGTGTGTGGATGAAGTGTAAGTGTGTGGATGAAGTGGAAGTGTGTGGATGAAGTCTAACTGGATGAAGTGTATGTGGATGAAGTGTGTGTGACCTGGAGTTTACCTGGAGAGAGTTCCGGGGGTCAACGCCCCCGCGGCCCGGTCTGTGACCAGGCCTCCTTGTGGATCAGAGCCTGAAGTATAAGTGTATAAATGAAGTGTAAGTGTGTGGATGAAGTGAAAGTGTGTGGGTGAAGTCTAAATGTCTGGATGAAGTGTATTTGGATGAAGTGTGTGTGTGTGTGTGTGTGAAGATGAAGTGTGTGTGTGTGTGAAGATGAAGTGTGTGTGTGTGTGTGTGAAGATGAAGTGTGTGTGTGTGAAGATGAAGTGTGTGTGTGTGTGAAGATGAAGTGTGTGTGTGTGTGAAGATGAAGTGTGTGTGTGTGTGAAGATGAAGTGTGTGTGGATGCAGTGTAGATGTCTGGAAAAAAATTATCAGGAAAATTTATCTGGGGCAAAATTGCTTTGATAAATTATTAATTATTATTATTGTTATTATTATTATTATTATTATTATTATTATTATTATTATTATTATTATTATTATTATTATTATTATATTATATAAAAACAATTATTAAATCCATAAGGGTGATAAAGCTTTAGCTGGATGAGATATAAACATCAGACAACGATTATTTGAATAAAGTCTAAACAGCTGAGTGTAAGTTTATTCAGGTACACATAAATACAGTTACATAGATTATCATAGCAACATGTGTGTAGAGAACCTGGGATAACCCAAAAAAGTTAGACAAAGTGACTTATTTCCAGTGGGGTGTGTATAATATTTCGGTAAAGTCTGGAGACAAAATATACCCCGCTGAACCAATGGTGTACAATGTACACCATTGGTTACAATGTACTACCACCGCTGATGAGATACTGACGACCACTGCAGGTGCGTCGGTCTTCATGGTCAGTGACTGTGGTGGTAGCCAGCCACGACACGACCTTCCTCAGCAGTGTGGCTGTGGAGGCTCGACGTGTGCGTCTCCTGGTGTGGGAGACACAGGTGGTGGTGGTGAGCAGTTTGCCTCAGCCTCAGGTTGAAGCTCTCCTTCAGCGTCACTGGACCTTCTCCATGATGAACACTGTGCTTATCAACCTGCGACAGGCTCAGGGGGGCGTCAGGTAATCATTTAGTTGAGGAATAAGGCGCACGTGCAACACCTGGGGTAAATTTATTTGAAGACGTGGCTGGATCAGTTGCAATGATATGCAATGACAGTAGAAGATAAGGTAATCAGTCCTTCAATCTGGCAGTTAGTATCTTCAAATAAAGCTACCCAGGTGTTGTACATGAATTTAATTCCTCAGCTTGTCAGGTTTGTACACCAATATTGTTTTTATACTGTGAGCCGCAGGACTTCTTCTAACCCACTGAAGTAATATAAACAGTTATCTTTTAGTTACCGTGGGTAAATTATTTACAAAAATCCTTCTAAAATTAATTCTTATGGAAAACAATTCGAAAACTGAATAAAAGTAAATTATGAAATTCGCGGAGACATACTTTTAGATACATACTGTATACACTGAGACACACACACGTCTACATATATATACATTGACACACACCTCTACACACATATACACTGACACATTTCTTCATACATATATACACTCAGTTACATACACTTCTAGGTGTATGTAACTGGGTGTAAAACATTTCCTGGCTCCTCATTGTCACAATATTCTCGTGGACGCGCTAAAAGCAGCAGCTATCATAACGCATCTGACGAATGTGGGAGAATCAGATCTGATCCGAGGAAGGAGGAGTATAACTCTGGTTCCTAGGATCAAAACACTTTCCTTAATGTAACCGTATGGGTGTGCAGCAGGTGGGAGGCGTGCAGCAACCAGCCGTACAGCAGCGAGGGTCCCAAAGTATCGTGCAGGTTGCTGTGGTCTTCCATTACCAGCTTCGACAACACCTCTGTCAGCGTCTTCCAGGAGAAGTATGCTAAGTGGGTATCTAAGGTTCTGAGTGCAGCTCTAAACCCTTACGGGTTTGATTGTAACAGTAATAATCTGATTAGTGATTTGTCATGTGCGTTAAACCTCTATCTAGAGCTGCAGTTTGGTATTTATTAAGTGCGTATTTAAGGACGTGATTGCTATGTATTGATCGTTGTACCGTGAACACATGTATACAAATGTATACAAATGTATGGTGTATATTAAGATCCCGCGTCAGGATACATGTGTTCATTAATATATTAAATGTACACCCACCTCAGGTAGATATAGTGAGCGGCGTCGTGCATTTAGTATGCAAACAATGGTAGGTTGTAAAGATAGTTGCGAAATGTCATTCTGTACATAGCTTGAACTGTAGACCGAAATGTACAACATTTCCTGACCTTCTGCATATATATATATATATATATATATATATATATATATATATATATATATATATATATATATATATATATATATATATATATATATATATATATATATATATATATATGTCGTGCCGAATAGGCAGAACTTGCGATCTTGGCTTAAATAGCAACGCTCATCTTGCCATATAGGACAAGTGAAAATTTGTGTATGCAATAATTTCGCCAAAATCATACTGAACCTAACGAAAAAAATATATTTAACTGTGTTTGTTTAGTATTAAACTATTGTAAACAAATCTAAAATATATTTAGTTGTGTTAGGCTAAAATAAATTGTTCTTGTTATAATAAGGTTAGGTAAGTTTTCTAAGATTCTTTTGGAGCAAAATTAAAAATTTTTACATTAACATTAATGAAAAAAATATATCTTTAAGCGTATAAGAGAAAATTTTAGAAAGGACTTAATTTTAAATGAGTTCTTGCTAATTGACCAGTTTTACATATTCGGCACGACATATATATATATATATATATATATATATATATATATATATATATATATATATATATATATATATCTTCTTCTTTCTTTCTTTCAACAAACCGGCCGTATCCCACCGAGGCGGGGTGGCCCAAAAGGACAAATGAAAGTTTCCCCTTTTACATTTAGTAATATATACAGAAGAAGGGGTTACTAGCCCCTTGCTCCCGGCATTTTAGTCGCCTCTTACAACACGCATAGCTTACGGAGGAAGAATTCTGTTCCACTTCCCCGTGGAGATAAGAGGAAATAAACAAGAACTAGAAAGAAAATAGAAGAAAACCCAGATGGGTGTGTACATATATGTTTGTACATGTATGTGTAGTGTGACGTAAGTGTCAGTAGAAGTATCAAGACGTACCTGAAATCTTGCATGTTTATGAGACAGAAAAAAAGACACCAGCACTCCTACCATCATGTAAAACAATTACAGGCTTCCGTTTTACACTCACTTGGCAGGACGGTAGTACCTCCCTGGGCGGTTGTTGTCTACCAACCCACTACCTAGGTATACATACATATATATATATATATATATATATATATATATATATATATATATATATATATATATATATATATATATATATATATATATATATAAACGAACCGGTTTTACCCCAGCGAGGCAGGATGACCTAAAAAGAAAAACGAAAGTTTTAAGAAAATAGAAAACCCAGATGGGTGTGTATATATATGTATGTACATGCATGTGACCTAGGTGTGTATATATATTGTAAACTTTTCTGATCAACAGCTTCCATGGTGCACGTATAGTGGTGACAGCTCAGATCCTGCCTCCCTTCTGGAAGATAGTGAGTGTTGATGCAGGGGACAGATCACCCAGGTACACTGGTAGGGACTACCTCATGATGCACTCTGTGGCTACAGCACTCAACTTCACCTTCCACGTCCGCCGCTGCTCCAGTATAGACGAGGTGTCTCTTCTGTCTACTGTGTGTAATTACCTACTTGTAGCTACAGTAGCAGAGCTGTGCTAGTAGTGTCGTCTTTAACACTCTGGTATCGTAAAACTTTATAAAAGTTTTAGTACGTTCAGCACTCACTACTTCCTCTATTAATGCATTGTACTGAATTGTTGCAGCTACTGAATTGTTGCAGCTACTGAATTGTTCCAGCTACTGAATTGTTGCAGCTGCTGAATTGTTGCAGCTACTGAATTGTTGCAGCTACTGAATTGTTGCAGCTACTGAATTGTTGCAGCTGCTGAATTGTTGCAGCTGCTGAATTGTTGCAGCTGCTGAATTGTTGCAGCTAATGAATTGTTGCAGCTACTGAATTGTTGCAGCTACTGAACTGTTGCAGCTACTGAATTGTTGCAGCTACTGAGTTGTTGCAGCTACTGAACTGTTGCAGCTACTGAATTGTTGTAGTTGTTGAACTGTTGCAGCTACTTAACTGTTGCAGCTACTTAACTGTTGCAGCTACTTAACTGTTGCAGCTACTTAACTGTTGCAGCTACTTAACTGTTGCAGCTACTTAACTGTTGCAGCTACTTAACTGTTGCAGCTACTGAACTGCTGCAGCTACTGAACTGTTGCAGCTACTGAACTGTTGCAGCTACTGAACTGTTGCAGCTACTGAACTGTTGCAGCTACTGAACTGTTGCAACTACTTAACTGTTGCAGCTACTGAACTGTTGCAGCTACTGAATTGTTGCAGCTACTTAACTGTTGCAGCTACTGAACTGTTGCAGCTACTGAACTGTTGCAGCTACTTAACTGTTGCAGCTACTTAACTGTTGCAGCTACTGAACTGTTGCAGCTACTTAACTGTTGCAGCTACTTAACTGTTGCAGCTACTGAACTGTTGCAGCTACTGAACTGTTGCAGCTACTGAACTGTTGCAGCTACTGAACTGTTGCAGCTACTGAACTGTTGCAGCTACTGAACTGTCGCAGCTACTGAACTGTTGCAGCTACTTAACTGTTGCAGCTACTGAACTGTTGCAGCTACTGAATTGTTGCAGCTACTTAACTGTTGCAGCTACTGAACTGTTGCAGCTACTGAACTGTTGCAGCTACTTAACTGTTGCAGCTACTTAACTGTTGCAGCTACTGAACTGTTGCAGCTACTTAACTGTTGCAGCTACTGAACTGTTGCAGCTACTGAACTGTTGCAGCTACTTAACTGTTGCAGATATTGAACTGTTGCAGATATTGAACTGTTGCAGCTACTGAACTGTTGCAGCTACTGAACTGTTGCAGCTACTGAACTGTTGCAGCTACTGAACTGTTGCAGCTACTTAACTGTTGCAGCTACTTAACTGTTGCAGCTACTGAACTGTTGCAGCTACTGAATTGTTGCAGCTACTGAACTGTTGCAGCTATTTAACTGTTGCAGCTACTGAACTGTTGCAGCTACTGAACTGTTGCAGCTACTTAATTGTTGCAGCTACTGAACTGTTGCAGCTACTTAACTGTTGCAGCTACTGAACTGTTGCAGCTACTGAACTGTTGCAGCTACTTAACTGTTGCAGCTACTTAACTGTTGCAGCTACTGAACTGTTGCAGCTACTTAGCTGTTGCAGCTACTGAACTGTTGCAGCTACTGAACTGTTGCAGCTACTTAACTGTTGCAGCTACTTAACTGTTGCAGCTACTGAACTGTTGCAGCTACTGAACTGTTGCAGCTACTGAACTGTTGCAGCTACTTAACTGTTGCAGCTACTGAACTGTTGCAGCTACTGAACTGTTGCAGCTACTTAACTGTTGCAGCTACTGAACTGTTGCAGCTACTGAACTGTTGCAGCTACTGAACTGTTGCAGCTACTGAACTGTTGCAGCTACTGAACTGTTGCAGCTACATAACTGTTGCAGCTACTGAACTGTTGCAGCTACTTAACTGTTGCAGCTACTGAACTGTTGCAGCTACTTAACTGTTGCAGCTACTGAACTGTTGCAGCTACTTAACTGTTGCAGCTACTTAACTGTTGCAGCTACTTAACTGTTGCAGCTACTTAACTGTTGCAGCTACTGAACTGTTGCAGCTACTTAACTGTTGCAGCTACTGAACTGTTGCAGCTACTTAACTGTTGCAGCTACTGAACTGTTGCAGCTACTTAACTGTTGCAGCTACTGAACTGTTGCAGCTACTTAACTGTTGCAGCTACTGAACTGTTGCAGCTACTTAACTGTTGCATCTACTGAACTGTTGCAGCTACTTAACTGTTGCAGCTACTTAACTGTTGCAGCTACTTAACTGTTGCAGCTACTTAACTGTTGCAGCTACTGAACTGTTGCAGCTACTGAACTATTGCAGCTACTGAACTGTTGCAGCTACTGAACTGTTGCAGCTACTGAACTGTTGCAGTTACTGAACTGTTGCAGCTACTGAACTGTTGCAGCTACTTAACTGTTGCAGCTACTGAACTGTTGCAGCTACTGAACTGTTGCAGCTACTGAACTGTTGCAGCTACTTAACTGTTGCAGCTACTGAACTGTTGCAGCTACTGACCTGTTGCAGCTACTGAACTGTTGCAGCTACTGAACTGTTGCAGCTACTGAACTGTTGCAGCTACATAACTGTTGCAGCTACTGAACTGTTGCAGCTACTTAACTGTTGCAGCTACTGAACTGTTGCAGCTACTTAACTGTTGCAGCTACTGAACTGTTGCAGCTACTTAACTGTTGCAGCTACTTAACTGTTGCAGCTACTTAACTGTTGCAGCTACTTAACTGTTGCAGCTACTGAACTGTTGCAGCTACTTAACTGTTGCAGCTACTGAAACTGTTGCAGCTACTTAACTGTTGCAGCTACTGAACTGTTTGCAGCTACTTAACTGTTGCAGCTACTGAACTGTTGCAGCTACTTAACTGTTGCAGCTACTGAACTGTTGCAGCTACTTAACTGTTGCAGCTACTGAACTGTTGCAGCTACTTAACTGTTGCAGCTACTGAACTGTTGCAGCTACTGAACTGTTGCAGCTACTTAACTGTTGTAGCTACTGAACTGTTGCAGCTACTTAACTGTTGCAGCTACTTAACTGTTGCAGCTACTTAACTGTTGCAGCTACTGAACTGTTGCAGCTACTTAACTGTTGCAGCTACTGAACTGTTGCAGCTACTTAACTGTTGCAGCTACTGAACTGTTGCAGCTACTTAACTGTTGCAGCTACTTAACTGTTGCAGCTACTGAACTGTTGCAGCTACTTAACTGTTGCAGCTACTGAACTGTTGCAGCTACTTAACTGTTGCAGCTACTGAACTGTTGCAGCTACTTAACTGTTGCAGCTACTGAACTGTTGCAGCTACTGAACTGTTGCAGCTACTTAACTGTTGTAGCTACTGAACTGTTGCAGCTACTTAACTGTTGCAGCTACTTAACTGTTGCAGCTACTTAACTGTTGCAGCTACTGAACTGTTGCAGCTACTTAACTGTTGCAGCTACTGAACTGTTGCAGCTACTTAACTGTTGCAGCTACTGAACTGTTGCAGCTACTTAACTGTTGCAGCTACTGAACTGTTGCAGCTACTTAACTGTTGCAGCTACTGAACTGTTGCAGCTACTTAACTGTTGCAGCTACTTAACTGTTGCAGCTACTTAACTGTTGCAGCTACTTAACTGTTGCAGCTACTGAACTGTTGCAGCTACTGAACTATTGCAGCTACTGAACTGTTGCAGCTACTGAACTGTTGCAGCTACTGAACTGTTGCAGTTACTGAACTGTTGCAGCTACTGAACTGTTGCAGCTACTTAACTGTTGCAGCTACTGAACTGTTGCAGCTACTGAACTGTTGCAGCTACTGAACTGTTGCAGCTACTTAACTGTTGCAGCTACTGAACTGTTGCAGCTACTTAACTGTTGCAGCTACTGAACTGTTGCAGCTACTTAACTGTTGCAGCTACTGAACTGTTGCAGCTACTTAACTGTTGCAGCTACTGAACTGTTGCAGCTACTTAACTGTTGCAGCTACTGAACTGTTGCAGCTACTTAACTGTTGCAGCTACTGAACTGTTGCAGCTACTGAACTGTTGCAGCTACTTAACTGTTGTAGCTACTGAACTGTTGCAGCTACTTAACTGTTGCAGCTACTTAACTGTTGCAGCTACTTAACTGTTGCAGCTACTGAACTGTTGCAGCTACTTAACTGTTGCAGCTACTGAACTGTTGCAGCTACTTAACTGTTGCAGCTACTGAACTGTTGCAGCTACTTAACTGTTGCAGCTACTGAACTGTTGCAGCTACTTAACTGTTGCAGCTACTGAACTGTTGCAGCTACTTAACTGTTGCAGCTACTTAACTGTTGCAGCTACTTAACTGTTGCAGCTACTTAACTGTTGCAGCTACTGAACTGTTGCAGCTACTGAACTATTGCAGCTACTGAACTGTTGCAGCTACTGAACTGTTGCAGCTACTGAACTGTTGCAGTTACTGAACTGTTGCAGCTACTGAACTGTTGCAGCTACTTAACTGTTGCAGCTACTGAACTGTTGCAGCTACTGAACTGTTGCAGCTACTGAACTGTTGCAGCTACTTAACTGTTGCAGCTACTGAACTGTTGCAGCTACTTAACTGTTGCAGCTACTGAACTGTTGCAGCTACTTAACTGTTGCAGCTACTGAACTGTTGCAGCTACTTAACTGTTGCAGCTACTTAAACTGTTGCAGCTACTTAACTGTTGCAGCTACTTAACTGTTGCAGCTACTGAACTGTTGCAGCTACTTAACTGTTGCAGCTACTGAACTGTTGCAGCTACTTAACTGTTGCAGCTACTGAACTGTTGCAGCTACTTAACTGTTGCAGCTACTGAACTGTTGCAGCTACTTAACTGTTGCAGCTACTGAACTGTTGCAGCTACTTAACTGTTGCAGCTACTGAACTGTTGCAGCTACTTAACTGTTGCAGCTACTGAACTGTTGCAGCTACTTAACTGTTGCAGCTACTGAACTGTTGCAGCTACTTAACTGTTGCAGCT